CTCGTATCGGGTCACCAAAAGGGCGAGTGGCTGGACTGAAGCACTTGCAGATCTCTGCAAAAACATGAAAGTATTCCTACAATGGATGAATCCCCCCTGAGCTACACTTGATTAATGTTTCTTGTTCCTGGGATGGATTTCAGGGTTTGCATGAGGAAGGTGTCATAAGCCTGAAACTCATCATTTGTCACATATTACAGTTTGACACCACTTAAGCTGTTGGACACTATGTCAAAGAATACTTTGCCATCTACGATATCCTGACCTCTCAGCACAATACTGTCAGCATGTCTCTTCGCCGTCGCCCCAATGCCATCTGGAGCACTAATGCCATGTGATGTGGGGAAGAAATTCCATGAAGCTTTCTCAAATCCCAGACATTGCAGGACAACACAGAGGAGATAGAAGTTCTTTTTATTTTTATACTGTTTGCTTGGACTATAAGGCTAAAAGTGGACAGTGTTTATAGTGGGATATCTGATATGAATATATGTGAGGATTTGATCCATATAGGTCCAGATGACTACAGCATTCTGATGCTCGGACTCTGAGATTGTGCAGAATCCTGCCTTTTCTTGCCCAGTGTAGAACATGCCTGTGTGAAGTGTCACCTGTGTGAGATTGTGTCCATAGTGATAGGATTGTACTTCTAAGCTGAATTTACATTGATATTTTTTATTTATCCATCTTCCACTCTCTTTCTCCGTCATTTTCTTTCCTTTCTTATAAACTCTTCCTTCAGCTCAGGCTGACTATTCATTATTTCTCTTCTATCCTGATACTCCCTGTTCCTTGCCTTCTGCTGCTCCATATCTCTTCTCTGGCTATTCTAGCCTGAAATACATACAATTCTATAATCGGTAGAGTGTTTATCATGGGATAAGCATACACTTCCCTAAGGAAATAAACCACATCTTATTAATATTAGAGGACTAATAAATACATGTTAAATTTAAACCATAAAACTATAGAAGGTGTTGAAAATCAACAGAAACATATTTGAAAAGAAATACTTGACCCATATGAAGTACATTTATGTAAAACACATTAAAATGAGTAAACTGCACACTTAAGTGAGATTTGTCGACACCATCACCAAGAGTCAAAAATCTGATGGTGTGGCAAAATGCCAAACTACCTCCATTTATATGATGTTATTCTGAAGGAGGCCATATTGTACCTTGAAATCTTTACAATATACCAAAGAAGCATTTATGTCACAAAATTTCATCAACATTTTGTAAATTGTTACTTGTGATGTTGACAGAATATGGTTGTGACAAACAACTTAGGAATAATAAAAAAAAAAGAAAAATACAAAAGAATAG